CAGAATATCGCTGATGCCGGCCCTCAAGGCACTCAGCTTGTTTTGTCTCTTGCCAAACCGGTTCAGCTGAAACTCAAGGAATGGTATAGCGGTCTGCCGGCAAACATTCGTCTCGAATCCTTCTCTATGACAAGTTATTCCCCCGTTTCGCCACCCTCGACGAACAGATTATCGAGTATTGGATATCTCCACCTGGGGTATTTTGCTACGGAGATCACACTGCACCGCAGAATCATTCGATCATTGGCATCCAATCCAACGACCGTGGATCCTTATGTCCAGCATATTTGTCGAAGCGCAGCAAAGGCCCGTCTCATCTCGGCCATGGACTTTGTCAATCGGCTGACCCCGAACCACCTGCGTTCATTCTGGTTTTTCTCATCCAAGACCAACTTTGCACTGATTGGCACATTTGGATCCCTGTTGTGGGCAACGTCTCCAGGTCGAGAAGAAGCCGACTGGTACCGTCGTCGCTTAGGGGAGTACCGATGGACTCTCTCGGTGAGTTCCAAACCCGTTGAGAGCAAAGCCCTGACGCAATTTGCGATATCGATGCTAGATATCTCAACCGGGTTGTTGAAGAAGCTACCGGAAAAGCCGTCCATGAGTCGGAGTGGGAGCTTAGCCGACATGTCAGCGCCATCTGGCCCGCCCTCATTTCCGGGGTCGTTCTCTGGCGGCGGCAGCCTGATGGGCCAGTTCAGCAACATTCACAGCGCTGATGTGAGCAGCGCACAAAGCCCCCAAAGTGATGATTCAAGCAGCGACGACGAAATGGAAGACAGCTATGCGACCCCGATATGAAGACTGGGGGCCTGGGTGGTGGTCGAGTCAAGCCCGGCTACGGCATGATGAAACTACCGGGTATCGGAGGCTTATTGAATTCTCGTTTGGTCTTAATAGAAGAGCGATCATTGTCGTCGTTGAATTTTATGTGCTTTTCCTGACTTGGATGCTCATCATGAATGTGTACGAAAGTACTGTGATGGTGGGCGACGAATAGCCGCGAGTCGGGGTTGTAGAATATTCTGTTGTGTAGCTGCATTCGACTCTGATCAGGAGGAGAGGGGGGACTAAATATGATGTTTTTATGAATTCGTCAGATTGATTATGAGCAAATAGATGGATAGTATTGCGCAACCACGTGAGAAAATTACCGTCTAGCAGTGTGGACGTAAGTGTGCGCATGTCAGCATCAAGGCTAGCTCCTATTGGTGAGTAATTCAACAAGGGGCAGGACGAAGCTGTTACAGGAAGGTGCACGTAGTAGTTACAACATAGCTAACGGCTGGGGGTCAACACATTGGATTCGGGTGCCGAGATGGTCCGAGGGCAGGCACGGTTTAAGTCCCCTCTGAACGGTCCGAGCACAGTTCGTTAGAGCAGGACAATATTAACGTTAGTAGAGGTTTTTGTATCTGAAAAAATATAGCGCACTGTGTATGAAAGCTCGTGCCTACTAAAGTACCTAGGTACCTGGTACTTTTGCTTATGTGCGATTTGTAACAATTGTATTTGAATCTTGTCAATGCCCAAGTTTGTTTTCCTCATACTCCCGTCTTTTGGAATTGCAGGAACCTTTTAGAGCCCCCGCCTCTCTCTTTTGCTCTTTCTGCCAAGTATTGACTTCTTCTATTCTCATTAAATTTCAGGCCCGCTGCTTCTAGACCTCTTTAACAGACCCAGGACATCTGCATCTTGAGCAAGGCTAACGCCCCCACTCGACGGGAAGGAAGGCAGCAAGCCACACCGGAGCAAGGAGTACCTGGGTACGGCAATCGGTACCCTAGCTGCTAAATCCATACTTCTTTCTGGTCAACTGGTACAACATGCTCGCACGTACATACGGATTTCAGGGTGAAACGCACCAGCACGGCCAACTTGTCTTCAATGATTGAGAGCTCTCGAGGTAATTCTGGGTTTACCTCATTATTTTTGACCTTTCTCGACTCGTATCTTCCATCAGCTTAGGACCCCTCATGTCTGCTGGGCGGACACGACACCGTTTTTTTACCGTTTGATCATGGCGAGAAAGGCTACACCAAGGGAGGCATCCGGCCCTGGTGCCAACTCTGAAGACAAGGCGACGGGCTTTACGCCTGAGAGGTTTGAGAAGGAGCTTCAAGACTTGGCTGACAAGGCTCGGAGCGACACATTTAGCAATCGATTTTTGGGCCAATTGAACATTTATATTCGCATCACCCTACTTCTAGCCCTCCTTGGACTCTACTCCCACGTCTCTCAGCTCAACCTTTCACCGGTGTATGGATCCATTCCCTCATCAATATGGCACTCAAAGCTTGTCATGGGAGGATGCTTCCTGGGGTGGGCTGGTAACAAGTTCCTGCGCGATTCATTGCCAATCGCCCCGGCCAAAGCCCTTCCCATGGTTGCCGTCTGCATTCCCGGGTTGCAGCATTTTCTAGCTGCCTTCAGCCAGACATTCGGCGCGCAATGGGGTCCCGTGGTCACAGAGAGCCTTACGCTACTACCGTTGGCACTATTTACATCTGCTTCCGTGGCCGATTACTGGGAGGGGGCACGATTGGGCATGTTGCCAAATGTCGTGGCTGATGCCGGGCCTGGTATTGGGTCTTGGGCCTTGTTCAAGTTCTTTGAAAACCAGATTGGCGTGTATTTGCCCCAGATCATGGGCAGACTCCTGGTATTTACTAGACTGGGCTTGGAGATTGTCCTCTCAGTTGCTTACATGGTCCTCTCCCCTTCAAAGTACCTCATTTACGCGGCATTCCCATTCCTCCACACCACGTTCCTGAACAGCCATCTGCAGTCTCCAGCCGCCACTCAGAGGCTAATGAGCTCTTTGATGACTGATAACTGGTTGCTCATTGAGAGGCGTGAGTCGGTGACTGGTTATATTTCAGTCGTACAGAGCATAGAGCAGGGCTTTAGGGTTATGCGTTGTGATCATAGCCTACTGGGAGGGGAGTGGATCAGTTATAGAGGGGGACCGGTATCAGAGCCGATTTATGGCGTCTTCGCCATGCTAGAAGCTGTTAGATTGGTCGAGTCGGCAGCACCCGTGGATGACAAGGATGCCAAGGCATTGGTGATGTGAGTAACAGTTTCCGCTGCAGAATATCTTCGTGGCTAACTTGTCCTTGCAGCGGGCTTGGTGTTGGGACGACGCCTTCTGCGCTTGTTTCCCATGGAATCAGCACAACCGTCGTAGAGATGGATCCAGTTGTTTACGAATTTGCATCCAAGTACTTTGATTTGAAGGAAAATAACCCACCTGTATTGCAGGATGCTGTCAGCTACACCGGTGAGCTTGCTAAAACAGCACCCTCGACATACGACTACATCGTTCACGATGTGTTCACCGGCGGGGCCGAGCCTATCGATCTCTTCACCCTTGAGTTCTTCCAGGGCCTGCACGCGCTGTTAAAGCCCGAAGGCACTGTTGCCATTGTAAGTCTGCCTCATCGACCTTTTCACTACTAGACTCGCCAAACTTGCTCACGACGTTGCCACAGAACTACGCAGGTGATTTGGCCCTCCCACCACCCAAAGTCATTTACCGCACTATCAAGCAAGTCTTCCCAACGTGTCGCATCTTCCGCGAAATGCCACCAGACACAGAGTCCATCAAAACCAAGGGCATAGATTTCACCAACATGGTTATTTTCTGCAAGAAGTCAGACGGCAGCCCGCTCAGCTTCCGACGTCCCACAACCAAGGACTTCTTGCAGAGCCCAGCCAGACAAGAGTTTCTGGGTTTGCCAAACGAGATGCCTGAAACGGCCATGCTAATAGGGGGTGATGAGGGCATCTTGAGGAAGAATGAGACGGCAAAGTTGGCCAAGTGGCATGAGACTAGTGCCTTAGGACACTGGTCGCTAATGAGGACTGCTATTCCGGCGCTGGTATGGGAGAAGTGGTGAACAAGGCTGATCGGTGAGAGTGGATGCCACATATTATTGAAACAGTCGAAGTTCTTAATTTGAGTACTACGGAGTCCTCCAACAAAGGGGAGTAGAAATTGGGCATTAGAAATATGGAGCAATGTCTTGGGTAGCGTACGGAGTAGGCATGGTGCCTTTGTGACGAAGGGTGTGGCTTGCAGATACGTCGCCGAGAATTTTAATATCTTCCTCAGCCTTTTTCTGTATAACTTGTTTCACAATACTTTCGCTCCTTGGCCTATGAGATCAAGCTCCTGCGGTGGCATCAGCTTCAGCTAGATGGCCAAGCTCGAAACCTCCAGACACTTCTTTGCCCCTGATTGCGTTTGTAGACATTTCAAACAGCAATCCACAGAGTCCGGAAGGTGTAATCCAGTCATGTGTTCCCGCCGTATCCTTCCCGATACCCAACAGTCGGCCCAACGCCTTGGACGGAGAATTTGAAGTCCATCGATATAAGCATTGCATCGTGTCGTCGACAAAATATGCTTGCATGTCACAAAGCCATTACTATCACTTCTTTGAACGACCCCCCAAAAAAACACATTTGTGAATGTGTCGTCACGGTAGGTAGCAATCTGCGATCCTTAAAGCCGGTCCTCCAACCTTGACAATGAAACAAACACAAAGCGCGTTGACCGATGCTTTTTTCGCTTCTCGTCACCGCTCAGACCAACTGACGTATCCTAGGATGCCCGAACAGTAAAACCTGCAATGAAAGAGATGTGCCGTCGACAGGTCACTTTCATGCCAAATCTCGCTTATTCATTTTTGAGTCGGGCTACCGGTAAGATCACCATTTTTGAGACACGGCACTGCATCTGGTGGCACATGGTCACCGACCAGTGGATGATGCATACGGAGTACTATATGCTTTAATGAGCTTCCAGTAACCTCTACTCCGTACGGAGTACTCCTGCGGAGAACTCCAGGTTAATAACCGGGGGGCATGATGTGAGATGATGTTCATCATGGGTAATAAATAGGGGCAATACATATAAAGCGAGTCCAGGGCCAGAGTACAGTCTCTACCAAAATGCCAAGTAATCAAGGGAAAAAAAAAAAAAAACCAAGATGAAGCTTCGACTCCTACACCTCGCGGCGGCTGCGTTTGCCGTTCCAGCCGCCCAATCTCACCTCATCACGCGCCAAAAATCATCCAGCAACTGGGCCGGTGCCGTCCACACCACGCGCTCCTCCTCCATATCCTTCGTCACCGGGACCGTCACGCTGCCCAAATACAAGCGAGACCCTAACCTTGGCGCCTCCTTCTGGGTGGGCATTGACGGCGCAACGTGCCGCAGTGCCATTCTCCAGACGGGCGTCGACTACCTCAACGACACGGTGTACCCCTGGTACGAATGGTATCCGGCCGACGCAAAGTTGTACGCGCAGCCGCTGTCCGCATAGCCGGGTGACAGGATCCGCATGAGCGTCAATGCCACGAGCGCCACGTCGGGAGTTGCTACTCTGGAGAACTTGACCACGGGGGAGGAGGCGCGTGGCGAGATGAAGAACCAGCAGCAGCTTTGCTTGAGGGACGCCAATTGGATCGTGGAACTTTTACCGAAAAAAGGCCTCATTGACTTTGGGGTCGTCAGTTTTGAGGCGGTTGAGTGGCATAGTGGTGAGGGGAGGAGAGGCGCGGCAGCGGCCAAGGTTTACGATATCGAGAAGGCCGGGAGGAAGAGTACGAGGTGCAGTGTTGGGGGGGATGTTGTTTGTGAGTTTTCGGGGAATTATTAGGCTGTTGCGCTTCGGTGGGAAACTTGGCTATCGAGTAGAATCGGGAGTGTCGAGTTGTCATGTATGTAATCTGCGTGGCGTGATTGTGCCGCAGACGTCTTTGTAAATCTGTATCAGTACCAGTATAGACCAACAAATAGCCTTAATCACGAAAAGCTCCTTTTTGCGGCCCAATGATAGTTAACCTTGCGACGTCAAGTTTACTTGATGCTTCAATGCCATGTACAAGTCAACCGGAGCAGTCGAAAAGGCAAATGCAGGTATTATTTAGTCTCGATACAAGCACCTACTCGGTCCTTTTATTCGCCGCGTCCAAGCTCTGCTTCTTATTTCGCGCGCTAAATTCTTCAAAAAATCCCTTCGCGTACGCTGGCAAGCCCACCCGGTTGTAGGGGCCAGGAATCGGTTCGCCCATGGTCGAATAAATCGGCACTACACCTGTCCACACTGTGTCCAACGCATCCTCGTTCTCCAAATCATGCTTGTCGTCCGAGACGCCACCATCGCGGTACTTGGCACTTCCCGAAGCAATCTTCACTTTGAGAATGCTCGTACTCTGCATTTCGGCATTCGTAGGCGGCAAGCGGCTGTTCTTCCAGCGATCCGGCACGACAGAATTGGTGATGAGCTCCATGGCGTACAGCTTCTCCTCCTGATCCTCGACAAGAGTAGCGTGGCCGAAGAGTAGAGCTGAGCGGTAGTTGTAGCTATGGTTGAAAGCGGTGAGAGCGAGAATCAGACCGTCGACGTGGGAGACAGCGCAAGAGACGGGCATGCCTTCTTCGCCAGCACTGCGGCCAAGGTTGAAGAGGCGCGAGGAGACGTAGCCATGGATGTAGAGATCTAGAGGGTCACCTAGATCGGCGGACGGCCGGTCAAAAGAGCCCATCTGGCCGATCATGGGGAGGGTGACAGGGAAAGGAGAATTGGGGACGTTGAATGAGACATGGATGAGTTGGCTAGAGTTGATGAGAGAGTGGATCTTTTCGAGAGCATAGATTCCTAGGATGCTGAGTTAGCCCGCTGAATATAAGTGATTAAGTAGACTCGTTGAGTTTAAGTGTCATCGTTACCTCGCTCGCCCTTTCTCTTGACGAGATTTGTTGCGTCCTTGGGATACTCCAGTTCGTAGCGGCCCATGATGATTGAGAGGGATGAGTATGTTGTATGTTCTTGGTGAAGTTCGAGTATATTCCGAGGCGGAATTGCCAGAAAATGATAGATGGGCTACCTCGCTAAAAACTACACGATATACTTCCTTATATATTACGTTGTCCGTCAGTTTTGACTCACGTCTACCCGCCAAGTTGGTCCTTTGGAGGTTGCGGTGACAATTCCGAGGTTACCTCAAGCTACATCAGCCGCTACGTCAAATGCTTTGCTCACAACTTCCCACAGCGCCAGAGTCAAATGGTTTCTACATGCCGTTTTACTATGTGTCAGCGCCGTAAGCTGATTTGCCTGCTTGGCGACTTGTCCCTTGCTTGCTTGTAGTGCGGAGGGCGCTTTGCAACCGCAACGCGGTGATTCGACGAGGCGATGACGACAGCGGGGTTCCAGCAGGCTTGAGCTTCGAGTACGTTGGCTCATCACGGCGACCTGCGGACGACGGCTGCAGCTACGAAGCATGTTTGTGGAACTTGGCCACGTTCTGCGGATGGATGCCGCTTAGGCGTACTATAGCAGATCTGGGAGTGCCTGATCCTGCGGGTGCGGGGGAGCAGCCACTCGTCTTTCGCCTCCTGGAGAGCAATTGACCAGTAGGCCGTTCTCATTCTGCGTTGCTCTGGATGTTGATGTATTCATCGATAAGGCTCAGACTGCATGGGTGTATATTATGCGTAAAGGCGGAGGCATGGGTGCGCTAACCTCTTGGGGTGAACGGAGTTACCTGTTGCTAGAGGTTATCCGATTCACGAATGCAGTACTCCGTACGCCGTCGGTAAGGACCACGGCATCCATTATCATGAAGCCGAAAGGGCGCGGCACTCCAGTCGCGGGCTACCACATGGAGGCCCAACTCCGTTTTTGTCAATGACCTGGAGCTCGGTGGTTGAGAGACTGGTTGGCAGTGGTTGCCATATGCACAACCACCAAACAGCGGGTTCCTAGCATTTGACTCCAAGGTTGATTTACGTAGGCACGGGTGAAACATAAACGCCTACTTTTCACGGTAACTGAGAGTCGGCCTGGTGAACATCGGCTGCAACCCAACGGGCTATCATCAATGCCTGCTGAGGTCATCGAGCCGTCCCAGCTGCCCAAAAACCATCGACCAGCCTTGATGACCAAACTCTCTCAAATGGTGGTGTCATGAATCTAGCCCGAGGGAGAGAAGCCAAAAGCGTGCCTTCAACGCGTCGGGTGAGGCCGAAGGCAGGGTTCAGCCACACAGAAGTCGAAACTCATGAAACACCGTCAGTGTGACCCGCAACAGCCACGCACATTGTTGTGGAAGGAACCGACTCTCCGAACTGGCGCACGGTGAAAATTGTCTGTGATTTAGGTGAAGAAACTCCTCACCTTCTTGGCTTCAACATGTGGAATGACGTTATTACGTTCCCAATGGACTGCCGAGGCGCCATTTCTTTAGTAGAGAACCAGATATTTGGCGTGATAAGCAACATTGGCTGCCCATGATTTGGTGATAGGACATTCACCGGAGATCTGGTGTCGCAGTTTCACCAGCAAGGCTGAAGGATCAAAATGCTTCCGAGGGGTCATCCATCCTACGATGGAAAGAGCGAGAGCGAGTCAAACCGGCACGGAGAAACTTCTGCCGGGACCTTCGCCCTTCTCCGCCCGCGCTCTATGCTGTCGTGATAATCACCGCATCCACGATTCAAGTACTGTCATTGTCATGTAGAGGCCGCTCGAGTCATCTTTTGGCATCTATACCATACATACTGATTCAACCACATTTCCCATGTGTCGCATCAGTAGGTGTGGGCTCGCAGCCATCAAATGCTGGGTCACGCCCCATTTGGCCCCCCAAAAGTCTCCGACTTGCTAACGTTTGAGGTTTCATACAAAACGCACTTGTCGCAAAGCACGGATCCTCACCTCACCTTTTGTTGTCTTCGACTCCAATAATGGTGATACGCGGTACCAATGGCAAGGGCCATCTGTCCTTCCGAGCGCTTTCTGCCTTGTTCCAACGTGAATTGGTTTGAGAGTTTTACTGCTCCTGAGGCAAGTCGCGAGGCACCAACCACAGTCGATTTGCTACTCCTACACGCTTTTGGAGGCTTGCGTTCGTCTGTGCACATGTGCACAACAAGATGTACTATGCGTGACACTTCTAGCAAGAGCGTGCTGGCCTCCACCCCTGTGTGCCAAATAGACGTGTTAGCCTAAATGGGATGTTTTGGCTTCCCGTTTGCATGTTTTGGGGCTGTCAACCCCAAAGAGCTTGATACTGTTGCTAGATCTGTCCCATGTGAAGGAATGCCTGCTGTCCCCTCCTCTTCTTTCATCCTCTGCCATCCCACCCTCACACAGACCTTGCTGTGATGGGTGCGATACGAGCTGAGATCTGTACGATGACGATGGCCATGCTGTAATGATTTAGGCCTCGACTGGAAACACATCCGCCTCCGAACCCTCGGGACTCAATATTGTCTTCTGATTACCTTAACCGGTTGCTTATACGTCCATGGCCCATTGATTGGGCAGTTTCGATTCTCCTCACGGTCTGTCCAACAAGCCGTTGGTTGGCCAGGCCGTCGTCATGTCCAACTCGGCCAGAGACCAGGCCTTGGTGGCGACCTTTGGCTTGTCAGTAATAAATCCATTCCTCCTCCAGGGAACTGAGCTTGGGTTCCTGGCGTTGAAATTGAAAAGCTAACACTCAACTCACATCTCAGCGGCGCTGTCGTGTGTGCCTCTCTAGGGACGGTATTATTTCATCTCAGAGGAGGGGCTTTATCGCTCTTTCGAGGCGGTCTGAGGCTGGTCCTCGCCGGTTTCCTTCTGTTCGCTTCTCTATGGGCTGTCGATGGCTTCGTTGCTACTTTTATCGACAAATCTTCCGCGTCAGGATGTCAAATCGCCGTTGCATTTGCTGCCGCATTCGACCAACTCGCCCGAATCGTACTCGAAGAATTTTTATTCTGGGCGATGAAAAGCGATGCCCGAGCTACTTGTGGTGTCTTATTTCCACAGGCTGTCTTCTTTCTTCGCTTCATCATTGGTGGCATCTTTGTCGGTGTTCAACGACCACAGTTCGACCCAGTATGTGTGGCCACGAATCTGCTCTGGCCACTCGGCGTTGCGGTTCTGTGTACGGATGCCTTCATTGTCCTTACTCTTGTGACAAGAGCTTCTTCGGCCGGAGTCTTTCGAGACATGAGAGCAGAAGGCCCTCTTGGGTCTCGATCCAGGGGCATATCTTTGATCATTATGGCCTTGGGACTTTGGATTCCTGTATGCAAAACCGAATTGCCGTCATGTTCAGCACCCGTGATTTCAGCTAACTTTTGGCTTTCTAGCTTAGTGTTCCTATGATTCTAGGAATCAGTTCGTTCGGTATCGCTACTCGTACGGCCCTTCCCGCCGTTGGAGTGCTGCTCGTCATAGGTTTGATGGTACCTTGTTGTGCAGTCGTGAATACTCTTGTTACTAATATGTGGAACAGGTGTCATTGCGTTCTACTTCAAAAATGTGATTTTACCACTGAAGGCAGTGTCTCAGAAGACTGCACCGTTTCTCGACAAATTTCCTGGTTTGTCCGAGGATGTGCCTCCGCCGCCAAAAAGGGAGCTAAGAAATCAGGAGGTGTCCACAATCGACAGCTTCGGACAACCAAGGGAATACTCACGGGAAGTTACAACTAGTGCACGAGATGGCAACAATCAGCTGCCAATTATTAGTCGCCCAAGTCCAGGTCAGGCAGCAGCTGGCGTTGGAGGGATGCCAGTTAAGGGTGAACTTTTCCCACCTATACGGGCCGGATCGTTATCAGCAAAGCAGGAGGATCTCTTGGTGCAACCGACAAAAAAGGCGGTCATCAAGGGCGGAAAACTGGTCATATCTTATCCGATAGTTCAAGAGGACAAACTCAGCGAGGCGAGTCCTTTGAGGCGGATTGCAACTGTTGACTTGGCCACCGCTGCTAGGCAAGACAGAGAACGGAGAGTCAACCCTGCAGTACCTCTGCAGCCCAGCACGAATAGGTATAGTAGACAAGCTACTAAAGAATTGCAGCGAAGGCAAGTTGGTGGAGATTCTGCCACGAGACAAACTAGCGCATCGACTTCGGAGCCTATCGAGGAGCGTGCGTCACAAGCGGCATCTTCGGCCGTGCTGTCGGGCCTTGTCACTCCCAGTGGTGGTGTTCGGCAGAGGTCACCGAAACATATTTCACAATGCTTTCAAGATACATTCCCACCGGTTACTCCAGCCACGAATGCTTCGAGGTCAAGAAGTAAAAGTCCCACTTCACGGAATTCAGGTTCAGGGGTACCTTTAAAGCCGCCGCCCCGATCGCCTCTACGACCCTTCCCTGAGAAGACCACCAGTGCAACTACCTTGCAAGGCCCAGGTAAACCGCTCGCCGAAATGCTAGACCAGACCAAAGCTGAAGAGTTCAAGAGCTCTGCTGCTGCCCCCTCTTCGCAGCACACTTCGCAGACTCCTCCCTCAAGAAGCGAAAGCGTCTCTCGAAGAGAATCCATTGACTCCCCTAGCACGCCTATGGACGTTCTTGTACCCCCAGTGCCTCCTCTTTCGCCAAGGGACCTTGACTCCAGCTCATACTACCAGTTGGAAAGGAACTTAAGCAATCAACACCGAAGAAGTGGGCCATCATCAAGCATTCCTCGTAGCGGATCGGTTAAAAATAACATTCGCCCATCGAGGAAGAGGCCTAAAACGCCTCCACCAATCGATCAAGTGAAACCGTCGAAAACGCCGGTCCAGCTTCGAGAAACCACGGGGCTTCCCAGCCATCCCAGAGCTCGGGCTGCAGGAACCTCTGCCAGTAAGAGCCGGGACCAAACGGTGATGTTCGTCAACAGCATCGACTACAATGATCCTAGCAGGGTTCGTGACATCATTGATGAAATAGCAACAGACTTGGCTGCAAAGGCAGATTGGAGCAATTCTGATAGCAGAGATTCAGTGGTCCATCGACCACGACCAATTCCTCGAAAGTCGCCCATCACGCCATCGGTTTTGGCAAAAGAATCACCGAGTGTAGCATCAACAAGTGATCTGCTACCTCCGAAAAAGGAAGTGGAGGCGAGATTGAAAGCCTCAGTTTTAACTGCAACGGCCGGAGAAAGTCCTAGCCAGCCGCCCCCTCTGCCTCCGCCGCCTCCAACTCCGAAGAGTGAACCTCTGGAACCAGCGAGGACCAAGACGTCCATATCTCGACCCAAAAAAGATAACCCAGAGGTGAAGGAATATATAACTCCAGTGGATCAAACAGGCATCGCTCTACCATCGACTACATTACGAACCCAGGCCTCTCATGACCGACCTAGGTCAGAGAAAAACGTTAACGATAAGAACACCGTTGCCAATGTGACGCCTACAGAATATGTCGAGCCGTCTCCATCCGGGAAACGCAAGGAAGACACGACCAGATACATGTCCAAGTTCAGCATAGCCACAACTATGAGCCCAGAAGAGCCGCCGTCTGCATATCTTCAATCCCCAGCTTTCAAACTTCTTCGATCGTTGCAAGAAGGATTGAGACGAAGGTCATCTCCTGTCCTTCCGGTAAATGATGCTCAGGAATCAGCCACTCCTGCTTCAATCGTGGTAGACCAACCAGGAGCCCAGTCAACTACACCGTCGTATGCGAAGCAGTGTATCAAACCACAAGATCTGGCAGCTGGCTATGTTTCCAAGTCTCTGGACGCTGATCCTGTTGCTCTTGGAATGCCTGCTAGAGTTAGCTATGCTGATAGTACGCTACCAAATGATGAGGACGACGGTAGAGAAATGGTTACCTTCATGCTTGACCGAAACACATATTATTCAGCCAATGCGGCATCTACTACGTCGCCGCAAAATAGTATATATGGCGGCACCGAAGGCAAGAAAGGCTCATGGCACTGTCGTGTGGGTGAAAATCCGCCTACGTTCTCTAGCCGAGAATCTATGCAATCTCGCCGTTTCCCTAAACCACCTCCGCTTGAACTTCACAGGATTTTCAAACGTATGAAAGGATCGCCTCCTCAGCCTCCACCGCTCGAAACTCCCAAGCAGGCCATTGACAAAATTCAAGAGCAGCTGAAGAAATTCAAAGACTCCAACGTGGATGATGATGATGCTGAACGTGAAAAACAGAGAATGTCTCTCCTCAGAGACATAGAGATGGAGATGGGAATGGAAGAAAACCGATGGCGGAAGATGCGGGATGATCTAACTAGAGTGTCGGTCTTAACAATTGGCTCAAATCCAGGTTCTCCGTTTCCCCATGCAGCAAGCCCTTCACCATCACAAAACATGCAGTTACCGGCGATAAATGTGGCCGAGAGTTCTCCAAAGAATAATAGTCCCTATCTATCAGTACGGGAAACGGACACGGGGCGGCCGCGATCATCTGTCCTTTACACAGCCGATCAAGTGCAGATGAGTCGTCCCAGGAGGGTGCCTGATAGGTTCCAGGTGACTACCACAGATAATACATCCGAGATTTCGGAGCGGGCTGTCCGAGAAGGAGTCTCCATCTCTACCAGGAACACCTCGCCAGTTGCGCCATCATCTCCCACGAATAACGAAACATATTCAAGGTTCGAAATTGGGAGTCGTGAGCAACGGCCAAACCAAAAAGGGGAGGTTGCACCCGCCAAAGGTGTTTTGTGGAAGTTAGACAACATTAATCGAACCCCCGAAATCACGAAATCACAGGTTGCCCTGTGGAATTCCGCCTCTGACTCTGCAATTCAGTCAATTAGATCGCGATCTCCTGGCCCTAGGCCAGTAAGTCGCAAGCCCAGAGAATCCTCTCCTGTGGAAGAATCGGGACTCTGGGCCAGTCCACCAGAAAGCTTGATACCGCAGGCCAGATCTCCCAGCCTGTGGCGCGCAGCACTTCAATCACCACCATCAACACCATCATCCCAAGAATCCGCCACTCGCCCGCGCACACTGAGGCCTCCACGCAAGAGTAGGCGAATTTCTTCACTTCCAGACATTTTGGAGAATCCAGAGCCTCTAGAGAACAATCGCAACGCCTTGGGTATCTTTCGATTCCCCTGGGGGGAAACTTCCGACGCAGCTACAGTGTATACACCATTTCAGAACCAGGCGTTCATGCTGTCAGGCAATATGGGTGCAGGATTCCCTCCGATTCACCCGTCTCTGGAACTCCAGATGCAGATTTTGAGATCCCAGCAACAGCCATCCTCGTTCTTTGAGCACCACGACGAGGAAGAGGCCGTCGAAAACATTTCCGAGGATTCAGATAACGATAGTTTTGACGACGATGACGACGATTCCTTTGATGAAACAACACTTTGGGAGATTGCCAGCTTACTAAAATCTGATAGAGTTCCTTCCAGGGAGAGCTTGTTTCCCAACAATGGCAATATTCTTCCTGGATCGTTGACAACCCAGGGACCTACAGACCCCATTAGACCATCTTTCGTGCCGCCGGCACGGCAAGTTGCAGAGGAAGAGGAGCCAGACCACACTGAGAGCGAGCCATCCCCCGTGCCACTGTTGCGTCGGGAATCTTCGTCACCAACTCTCCCACCACCAGAAATGACTCTATGGGTCAACAACGTCCAAATGCCTCATAGTGCAGTAAACCAGGGACTTTTCCAGGATGGTAAGGTATGGGATACCTATGTTGAAAGCTATAAACCCACCGCGCGCGCTCCTCTCAGGCAGACTAAGGCTCCAAATATCACCAGCAGCTCACTCTGGAGTCAGCCAGCGATCAATACTGGCTCACCTCCTATTGCATATTTGTGGTCCGGCGAATCCAAGTCGCGGCCCATGGTAGATGCCACCGTTGAAATCAAAGAGATATCCCACCCAACTACCCCTGAGCCAGAATTTCTATGGTCAATACCAAAGTCCACCCTAGACGAGAGTGTATTTGGTCTGCCACAGCCAGAGCCAGAGCATTGGGATCAATATAATGACCTCGCGTGGGAGGTTTGGCGTCCAAGGCCCCGAAAAGGCGGACACTTGAACATCGAGAGCCAATCTCTGTGGACACAAAGAAGACCTCAAGGAGAGCAAACAAACAAAAAGCCCGGATTGGAAGGAACCACGCCGACATCGCCTTCTGATGGTACCAATGAAGGGGACACTTCACCGACGGCCACAACTACAACAGGCCGACAGATTGCTGCCGATGACATGACACCGTCAATCGAAACGCCCATCAACAGCCCAGAGTCGGAAGAGGATGCCATTTCCATCAAGGAGCAGCCCACCTATGATGCAGGTATTATCATTGGACCACAAGACGATATCGTAATATCCAGCCCTCTGGGTAACGATCTATGGGTCCCCATTTCCACACTTCCCCTGGATGAGGAGCACCAAGGCCTGTTCAAAGTCCAACAAGGCGGGCACCAACACGACAAGAAATATCGTAGAAGTTCAAAGCCCCCCGCAGCGCTGGAAACTCGTCCCACGCCGCGATCAAGCCGTCGGTCTCTCCAAAAGCTTGAGTCACACACTCTCTGGGCACCGGCTACGCCACAAACCTTTGCTCAGGACTGGGTCACGCTCTCTTCCGTCCGGCCCAGCACTCCGCCCGGCCAGCTGTCTTCCGAGTCGGGCAGCGAATCGCCCCTTTCGGATACATCCTCAGTCTATTCCAACGTGACCGGTGAATCCACCGTCGCCAGCTTCCTCACCGGCCAGGCCTCCGTGCAACCGAAGCCGCATCCCGTCACAAACGCAGACTGGGTGGCTTCTCTCAAGGGAACGGATCCTGCTACCCGGCCCCGGAACGAGACTGCAAGATCGGTACCTAACTGGGCCGCAGCTCTGCACGAACCCCCACAAGGAGCTGCTCAACCATCAACTGCATCTGCTCCGCAGCCAGAACAAGAAGCACTGCAGTCAACAAACGAGGAGACCCAACCTGCCGTCACAGAGGCAAATGCAGGAGAAGAAATATCGGCGCCAGAAAAACAACCAAATCCTCTCAGCTCCCGCCGGGAAACCCAAATAGGCGGCTTCGACCCTGCAAGACACCACCCCGTCTTCAACGTTTACATCCTTGACACATCAAACGGGGACGACTACCACCCCGCTGCCGAGGGTTACATCCACACCCTAGTAAACAAGAACCCAGACTTGATTCAGCGACAGGCCAGTACGAATGAGAAGCATTGTTCAGTTAATGTGGGGAGCAATTGAAAGAATTGGGAGCCATCAGGACGTGGTTGAGATACCCAGTTGTAAATTTAGGCGTTAGAAATCTGCAACTGAATGAAATCAGAATTACACATCCAAGTGTGCAGTTTGTTAATACGCAGTCGACCATTATTAATACTTCCAACACCGGACATGTTTCATATTAGTTCTACCTGGCGGCACACTATTAATCACGTATGTATACTCGGTAGAAAGGGGCATGGCTTCAGAAAGCACCCACACAGCATCCATCAACGATAAGAACTAATCATATGTATCATAGCCCCTAGGCTCTATCCATGCAATTCATCAACTGTAGACTAAAAAAATGACAAAAGCGTCAACAATGCGCCGATGCTATAAAACAAGACATGCTTCTTCTTCGACGGTTCGGGAGTAATGCCCTACCGTCATTCCTGTATCCCAAATTGGCTCCATTGCTTCGTCCAATTTCCTTCCAAATGTACCTTGCGTATTGCTCTCTATTTGCGGGCCATGGTATGTGTATGTTTTGTGTTGTCCCCAAGTCCTCAGTCGTTTCTCTGCATAATCATTGGCAGTGACGTTTTGCATCTCGAGCAATGAACACATCAGATAGAAGCATCGTCTCCATTTCCCTGACTTCCTGCTTCAGTCGCTTCCTCTCATATCCATCCTCGGGAGGTTGTTTCCGGCTCTCGCGTTCATTATACGACAAGTAGGCGCGTGGGTTACATTATACATAAAAAAGAGCATACAAAATAGAAAGCGCCACGACACCTCCCACCAAGAACCGGTTCAGCCATCGACAGTGGCAGCCCGATGACGGGTATATCCAGCGATGACAGATGACGAGGCTGACCCCGACTCGTTTGAGCCATATTATACTGTCCACCCTCTCGAAGTCCGAGTCACCCAGTGTCGTTTATAGTTGGTAAAAAAAGAAAAGAAACTTCAGGACAAGAACCGTCGCTATGCAAACAAAATAATTCACAAACAAGTATTTTCCGCGTTTTTTTTGTACAAAACCTCGGCTGTGAATAACGGAGGTGTATAGTGGTGGTGGTAAAAGGAGTACAGTTGGAGGTGCTGAGATTCTTTGATTGCTGCTAATTCACCGTCATTAAGGGAACTCGGCGTCCAATGTTTGATGGTGGCGAGTTTTCAGATGAAGGCCGCTCAACAATGGTAGTGCTATTACCACGACTCTTCAAAGGTCGTCGGGCCGGGCTGGATCCTGGATCATCAAAAACTCTTGTAAACGCAGGGCTCGAATCCAAGCATCTCTCATGTCGTGGAGTTCGAGCTGGACTTTGTGTCAACTGATCAGCCCTCCTTATGAGATCGGACAGGACATCGCGCAATTCTCCGGCTCTCCTGACCAATACTTTCAAGCTGTTAGTATCGAAATGCATCCTACTGGTGCCAGTACCACACTTCCGAGATCCTGGGGCGGCAGGCTCAGCAGTTGCCGAGGTTGACCGATGTTGAACAGACTCTATGACAGATCTCACCACGCCATTCACGTCTTGAAGTTTGGCTGGTGGGTTTTCTGGTGTTCGGGGTCGGCTGGGGCGATTAGATCGTGGGCGATCATCCGGCAAGGGCCAGTTTGCTCCAAAAATATCATCATCTGGAGAGAAGACAGATCGTCGCCGCGGGGATTGCCGTTCACGAACGACAGCCGTCTTGGACATGACCGGTTCATTACGTTCAATAACCGCATCCAACCTGTCAAATGAGAGGTTATCATCAATGTGATCTTCATCCCCTGGAGGGTTTGCAGCTTCAAAGGCGTCCATATAAATCGAAGTCTCTGACTGATCGTCGTCGTTCGCAGACCCCTCGTCTGGGGAAGCCAGGGCAATGATGCCTTCAGCTTCCTTCCAGAGTGGTTTCTGCTCGCCATTCAGCATATTCAGCTCCCGACCATGGCGGCAGAGTCGCTTAAGGTCGTTGACGAGGAGAGATAATTCTCGAATTTGACCAGAATGAGCCTTGACGCTAGGTTGAGAGGCACGGATTGATTCAGGGACCGCAAAAGAATCCTCGGTATCTTTGCCGCCTGGTCCATCATCGGGGCCACCAAATTCAAAGTCCTCGTCCCAATCTTCGCTAACAGTTTTTGAACCAAGTCCCCATGTTCCATACTTCGATCCTGTGGGTTTTGATACGTCGGCAGGATCGTGTACCACAGGTACACTTTGGCTCCGGACGTGCGCCGGCATTGGCCCTTTGCGAACGACAGATCGACCTCCTCTAGAGTCAATTTCCTGTTTACCGTAAGCAGTCTTGGGCCGAGAACGACACGCCGGATTCTGCTTGTCATGAGAGGGTGGCTCGCTCCAGTCGAACAGGTTGCCGAGAGAGCGTTCGTTACTTGATGGCGGTGGTTTTGAAGAACTCAAGCTGCCACCAATACTAGCCAAAGCTAGGCGAACATTGGGATTGATGCCACCGGAACTGAGAGAACTGCCCTTTGAAGGAGGTGACAGAACATGAACTGGTGCGTCATCGTCATCTCTGGTCCAGTCCTCGTCAAAGTCATCATCAAGCGAAAACCTGCCAAGGTTGCGCGCCTCCCGGGCCACCTCGTTGCTCGTCAACGGGTCCAGACCAAAGCGAGGATCTTCTCGCAGCTCGCGTCTAACATGGTTGCCCATAGATCGGTGTGGCGCGTGAACTGGAGTCAGGTTTGATTCGTCTTCCTCCATAATCTTACCGTCTTCATCCCAAGTCCGGTCAAGGATCTCCTGGATTGACAAACGTTTTGATCTCTTGTTCCCGCCTGTGCTTGGGGGGGACTCATCATACACAGACTCAAGGGGTGTCTCCACAGCTCTGACCCGGCCAGAGCCTATGGTGCGCAACGAGTCAAAAAGGGTGTCGCTTTTGAAGTCAGTGTCGTACTCATCACCAGATATTAAGTCGCGCGTGTCGCCGTCTGAGCTGTCCAGGGCAGATAGTCTTTCATAGTGAGAGCCCCTCCGCTGCATCATGGCAACGCTGGTAGAGCTTGTTGAGCTTCCTGACGGCTGATTTGGCCGAATTGAATGACCGGCGACGCCGCCAACAGGACTCCGTCGCGACAAATCTGCATGAACACCTGGAAGATTGGAGAGCGGGGGCAGTGGGGAGGATGCGTTTCTTTTAGGCGCCGGGCGTTGAAAAGTCGCGGCTGAATCTAGTGTCAATCCCTGCTGAACCGGGGCGATCGGGGCGCTGGTCATTGTATCGACGCGGCCCACAGCTGATGGCAGGCTTCTGACTGGAGCTGACACGTGCCGCTTGTTGTCTTCTCTGCCCTGGCTCGCGCCCCGTTTAGTTCGGCGCAAGCTTCCAGATGTTTTCGAGGCCCAGTTTGCGGTCTGAGAAAATGTGGAAGAAAAGGATCTTCTTGGGCGTGCTGACGGTGGCATTCCGGAGTCCATTTCGCCAGTAGTCGGGGAGCTGACACGATCCCCATTCCGGCTAACAAGTTGGTAGTTTGGTTCCTCCTCTATATGCGACGATGCAAACGAGTCGCTCTGCGAAGATGAGCCCGACACCATTCTGGGCTTAATCAGATGAGCCCCGGTACCAGGTAGCATGCTTCTTGCCGGGTTAATGCGTTTGGGCTGCAAATTCTTTGCGGACGACGCTGCGTCACCGCCGTCGCCACTACCACCAAGCCGGGTGTGAGGGCTTGGCTTTGTCATAAGACTGGCCGTTTTGGAGTGGAAAAAAGACACCCAGCCAGAAGTTTTTGCAGCCCTGGCGGTGCGAGGAGACTGTCCCAATTCTTCAATTGGTGATGCTCCAAGCAGTTCCTCCGGGCAAATTGGCTCATCAAAGGAATACTTTGCATCGGCACTTGAGCCTGCAACATCAAGCCCTGCCCGGAATTGTTGCAGAGTCGCAGATCTTTGGTGGCTGGTGGCCGGTCGGCGAAGACTAGGTAAATGGCCTTTTGACTTGCGTTGCGCCAACTCCTCCGACGTGTGGTTTCTTGAGGGGGAACGCTTTACCAATTTATTTGGGGGCATTGGCTTCGAAACAGATCCAGATCGGGAAAGTATGGGAGCAGCAGACCCATATGAAAATGAAACTGATGGTGAATCCGCGAGTATGCTAGACCTGGGGCTGCCGTGCTGTGACAATGGACGGATAGAGGACAGGCGCTTCAACCAAGAACCGGACGACGAAATGGACTCCCTCGAGCCCTCCACGACGGAGATACCCGGGTAGATATCTCCCTGGCTGAGCACAACAAGAGACTGTCTTCTGCTAGAGGTACTTGACGGAGCAACTTGGGGGGTTTGCGGCCGCTGACGGCGCGACAATGGAGGTCTCGTCGTTTGGTGAATTGAAGTACCAGCAGCATGAAGCTCGGAGCCAATTGACCGCGGTGCAGCAGAACTGGTAGCTGGTCGACGCGAGGGTGGGGTCAAGGTCCTCGACGGCAAGTGCGACTTGACAGGCAATACTCGGTCGATTGATATCGATCTCTTGTGAACTCGTGCTCCTCGGCTGGAAGCTGTCGCAGCTTGGTGGTCGAGGTCGAGGTCAGTGGGTTGGCCAAACACCAGGCCACTGGCAGCTGCAGCAATGGCAGTGCCAGTCCCAACAAGCTAGATAGTCGCAACCAGAATGTGTTAGAGCTAAGCAAATCAATCCCAGGGTGGTAGTGGAAAGTGGTGCGTCTGAGGGTGAGACAAAAAGTAAAGAAGGGAGAGGGAGAGGGAGAGAAAAACAATGCAATCCAAGATTCAATGACGACTTTACGCAATCGACGAGGAAACGGGAAAGCTGGGCAGGGCGTGGGAGTGGGAGCAGGCCCAGACGCTGTTCCCGTCTGTTTTGAGTTTTGGGTCCAAACGCTGCAGAACCAGGCCCGGTGATACATGAGCTTTGAGTGGGCGTGCGTGCCGCTGCGAGGTGGTATAAAGTCAAGTAGGCTGTGTTTGTGCGTGTGCGTGTGTCGTCGATTGTGGTGTGGGTTTATGGCTATGGCAGGGAGGATTTTGGGGTCCAAGGTGTGGTGGGTGCGCGATGGCTCGAAAGGGAACATGTTCAGACAAGCTCTGGACTGGACGTACACTGGGAACCGTCTGCATGGTGAGGTGCAGACTTCTGCTTGCGTTAATTCGGCAGCAGGACGAGCATTCTAATTGTCGAGGTCAAGAATGGCAAAAATTGAGTCGATACAGCACTGGCATCGTCGGGCCACGGCTCAGCAAGAGACGCTCGACCGTTTTGGGCCCCCGGCAGTTGATGGGAGGGATGCGAGCAGGAGAATTCGGAGACGGACAGGCCTTTGAAACTGCGGACTGTGTGTATTTGCTCTCACGTGTGTGGGGGGAGAGAGCAACGGGCAGCAGTAGTCCGTGGCAGTACCAGCAAGCAAGCAACAGGCTCGGCGCGCGGATCGAAATGTTCGTCGGGGTGAGTGATGGGCCTGTCGAGAGCTCGTCGTCTGGTCTCGCCTCCAAAGACGCAGACCAGTGGGGGACAAGAAACGAAAGAAGAGAAAGAAAGAGCCCGATTGACAATGTTTGAACGGAGGGGCCGCCGAGCAGGAGGAATGGGGTAAAAAGAATCAAATAGGAATAGTTTTTACTCCAAGGAGCGAATGGGCCTAGTTGGAGGTCGGCCAAAACAATAACAAATCCAAAAGAAAAAAAAAGAAAAAAAAATAATCGAGGGCGAGGAAATAAAGTTGACGATTGTACCTCTTCTTTTTTTTTCCCTCGACGCCAGTATTAGGCCGTGGTTCGCCTAGGCTCAGAAGGTCAAGGAAAGCAAATTGGCCTGGCCACTGCTTTTGGCACGGTCCAGTGGAGAGGAACATGCAATGTAGCCCCGGTGCAAGTCTGGAGATTGGACCCAAGTGAGCAAATGGGATTGGATCTTTGGCCAGAACCAGAATATCCGGAGCTGGCTTGCTTGAGGGCCTGGTTAGCTGTAATCCAGTCAATTGCTGAGATTTGGTTCGACCTTGGATCGCCGACGCAGGGATGAACAAGGACAAGGGACCAGACAAGCATCGACAGGGACCAGCAGGCCAGAAGAGTGGCCGGCTTGTCAACACGACCATGTTCAAGAAGCGAAGCGAACATTGAAGCTCCGTATTCTGTCAAGTGGCTTTTGGAAGCAGCCAGACATTGGACATTAACACCAGTTCATCTACTCCCTACTTAAGTACACAGTACTAGTAGATTGCAAGACGAACCGCCCAGACCCAAACGGGCTTGAAGCACAGGGCAGGCCGACATTGAATGGCCAGCCGCAACAGCAGCATCAATGAGTGCACACTCATGTTAATTTGGCTGTCACGTCCAGCTCGCTGCGTCTGGTGCTTGGATTTGATTGTTGGTGGACACTTCAATCACTGACTGGGGCCTGGCCCGTAGGCACATGCAGTCTGCACTGTAATTTAGGCGTCCCCGCTGATGTCTGGTGCCAGCACTTGAGCAGACTTGGGGACCTACTCAGCTACTACCTTGGTAGGTATGTACCAGTTGACTCCAATGTTGCCTGAATAAGTGGCCACGGGCGAGTATGCATGCACCAGTTGACATCTAATATAGTGGCGCTGGGCTGCTGTCGGCGCTGTATTAGCTGCTGGCCTCAACTTTGCAGTGCTCGGGCCAGGGCATGGAATCCACACCAGACACTGGAGCACTTGACGTCGACTGACGTGCCCAGGGCCAACCCACGGCGCGTGCACCATCGTCCACTGCACACGCACCCGCTGCACACAGTACTTGAGCCCACTGCGCCCACTGCACCTGCTGCAGCGCACCGCACAGGCAGCACTGACTGCCCGCATCTAGATGTCATGTCCAGGTGTCAACGATTATTATTATGGAATGAATGAATCGCCCAGTGCCGCCGCCGCCTATTGTTGCTCCAGTCGGATGGTCCGATACCGTCGACGGTGGTCCTGTTCAACGGGTAGCAACAGCGCACATGCACCAGACACATGTACCAGACACGACATGCACGGGCAGAGGCACAAGCACAGGCACGCGCCATCAACAACAGCACGTGCGTGTCTTGTCAACAATGCTGGCTAATAGTAAAAACTAAACTGGTCGCCGGCCGTCTGGTCCTGTTGCTGTCCGTAGTACGGAGTACGGAACGCCGAGGACAATACCACGCGCCTTGTGAAACGTTTTGAAGGCGGCGTGCCTGTCTAGGAAATCTCCACCGACTCCAGGGAGGCACACAAACAAATTCGAACCAGACCAGACAGCTGTCAGTGGTTGAAACGCCGGCCCGGACTGGACTGGAGCCTGGTCGGAATGTTCCAGATGATGCCACTGCCAGTCTTTTCCAGTGTCTAGTTAGCCCTGTTGACTTCATATTGCAACATAGCGTGCTCTGCTCGGTACGGAACGCAGCGTCAAGCATCCTATCCGGTATCATCTCAGCATCAATTGGATATCGGCATCTTTAGCACAGTAGTCGGTACTGCGTGGTTTCAAGGTCAATTGTAGTAGATATTCAATGTTGTAGATCCTGTCCCCTGGCGCCAAACTCTACCCCCCCCCC